CTTCCTATTTTAGGTAGAGTTGATAGTTTATAACTTTTGTATTATGAAGTTGCAAGCCTCTTCTTAAATATTATCCGATTTCTACTTCTTATGGAATGTAACTGTTTAAGTTCTTGGGCAGATTTATGCGGTTGAGTAAAGTTTGTTTACAATTTATTTTTACAATTTTTGAATGTAAATAATGACCATTTTAACCCATTAGCACATTTGACTATTATGCAATTGATTCGCCAATATTTATATCTCCAGAGCATGACCCTCTGAGGATATACAAAGTGTGGAAAGCCTGTGTAAAGGAGTATGGTCCAGTATTTAGACTGGATATGCCTGGGATGCCGCCAAGTGTATACATCTCAGATCCTGCAGACATAGAACACTTGTTTAAGTCCACAACAAAGGAGCATCATAAGCCAGTCTTCAAAACCTTAAGTGCCATTAGGGATAATCATGATTTCCTCCAACCAAAAAGAGCTGGCATTCTGACGGAGTAAGTTTTGGATACCACCATAGGTTAGCTTCATTTACATTTTATATATATATATATATATATATATATATATATATATATATATAATATATATATATATATATATATATATATATACATATTATACACATATAGATATATATACATAGATTATATAAATATATATATAATAGATATATTATACATATTTATATAATATATATACTATATATATATATATATATATATATATATATATATATATATATATATATATATATATATATATATATAAGTATGTATATGTATATGTTTTTATGTATGTGTATGTGTATGTGTGTGTGTGTATGTGTATATATATGTATGTATGTATATATATATCGAAAATGCTACTCCAAAGTAAATTACCTTTGAAAAATGAGTGAGTGAGTGAGTTGAGTGATGTGAGTGAGTGAGTGAGAGTGAGTGTGAGTGAGTGAGTGAGTGAAGTGAGTGAGTGAGTGAGTGAGTGAGTGAGTGAGTGAGTGAGTGAGTGAGTGAGTGAGTGAGTGAGAGTGAGTGTGAGTGAGTGAGTGAGTGAGTGAGTGAGTGAGTGAGTGAGTGAGTAAGTGAGTAGTGAGTGTAAGGAGTGAGCGAGTGAGAGAGAGTGAGAGAGTGAGAGAGGGTTTTCTTATTTCTTTTCTTTTCTTATTTCTTGTTTCTTACAGATATGGAGAAGAGTGGTGGCGTGTCAGAAGGCGAGTCCAGCCATATACGGCCAAGCCAAAGACTGTGGCCATGTATCTTGCCCAGATGGATCAGGTTGCCTTGGATTTTGTGGACAGGTGGGGCTGAAGAAGCTTTCCTGCCTGGGTTCTTTTATGTTTTACTATGTTTTGTGAGATAGGCTGGAATTAACCCTTGTTTTAGGGAACACATGTTTCTCTTAAATTTGTTGAAATACTTGTAGCAAGCTTTCTGTATTTTGTAGAAAGCTGACTTTGGGTTGATTGATAAGCAAAGTGATTCACTATAGAATAAAACCAGGATGTAGAGAAAAATTGGAAAACAATTTGTTACTTACTTCATCTTTAGTAAGCAAAATCAGATTTTTACCAAGGCATCCAAAGTCGTTATTATCAGAAGGGGTTAAACATTTGTACTTGTTTTATTCATCATTACATTTCTGTGCACTATCTAATTTTCAAGGTAATATTTTGAGCATAGCTGCATTTATGGTATCATGACGATCATCATATTTATTACTATATATTATTCACAAAAAGATGGGCAGATTTAAGGGATGAAAACAAAGAGCTGCCAAGTGACTTCGCTGAAGAGCTCTACTGTTGGGGCCTCGAATGTGAGTAGCCAACAGTGCTTAAATGTTCTCATGGGATGTGCAATTCAATATATGTCTATTGTTATAGCATCTTGTGTATTTAATAGTTTACTTGAAGTATATGATCATCAATTAGATATTTGAGCACAGTACTTGACAAATTTTCTGTTTCAGTATTCAAGAGTATCTCTGTCTCGCTGCCTCTGCCTCAGTGCATCTCTGTCTGTGTGTGTTAGTGCATCTCTGTCTGTGTGTGTTAGTGCATCTCTCTGTCTCTCTATTTCTCTGTTTCTGTCATTGTCATTCTCTGACTCTGCACCTGTTTATCTCTCTCTCTTGGTCTCTGCCTCCATCTGTCTCATTCACCCATGTCTTTTTCCTCTCCACTCTCACTCCACTCTTTCTCTTCTCTTTCACAAATATATTACCCATTGATAAAACTTTATAATCTTGCAGCTCTAGGGTTGGTGATATTCAACAAACGTCTCGGGTACTTGGAAGGGAATCCGGAAGTGAAGGATGTTGTTCAGATGGCCAGAGATATATTTCATCTTGTTCAGAAGTTGGAGTTAGCACCCATACAGTGGTGGAAGATAAAGGAGACTGAAGATTTTAAGCAGCTCCGGCAGACAAATGATAAGCTCTTGAAGTAAGCCTGAGAATATATATATGTGTATATGTATATATCTATAATGTACTGCACATATAGACCTAGAAGGACTGCAAAGCAATGGCACAACTAAGGTAGTTTTCTTGATGAAAAATGAATTGCAGGTATTATAATACTGATTAATAGAACCAGAATTTTGAGGTTATGTTATTAATCAAAAAGTAAACTGATTATTGTGATATATCCCATTCATACAGATGCATGGACTGTCCACTATGTACGTATTTCTTTGTATATTGATTTTGTTTGTATTTTTTCATGGATGGCTTTATAAACATCATTATCATTGCTGTTATTTTAGTTAAAATAATAATTATGGTAATAATGATAATAGTTATCATTATTATTTTTGTTATTGTCATTATCATTTTATTATTAGCTATTATTATTGAATTATTTTATAGATGATAGATTGCATGCCAGAATTATTATTATTATTATTATTATTATTATTTTTTTTTTTTTTTTTATTTTTTTTTTTTTTTTTTTTTTGCACATGGCCCATAAGTAAAAAGGTTACTTGATTAGCAAAGGTCAAGGTCTAATGTGGTTGACAAATGATTTCCAATCAAGTCATGTAAAGATCTGCAAGTGAATTGTGACTGTGTTGGCCTGTAACAGATATGTGTATATTTATTCAAACAAAGATGTGCCTTGGGCAAATATATGATGACCTGCAACAGAAAATGCCTATTTTTAAACCAATGTCGAAGGGAAAATAGTGCGTTCCCTTTGGCAATGCTTGGTTAAATGTTTCTGCACATAGATGGCTCTGCCAATGCTTATCCACAAAGGAGTCAATTAGTAGATCATGCAACCTCACCTCCTTGAAAAAGCAGGAAAACGCTATTTTTTTACTAATGCTATTAATATTGACACACATTGTTACTGGCATTACTAACAGCAGTATTGAATATTAGAAAATATTATTGAAAATCAAGGAAAAGGGTAAACAGGTGAAACAGGTAGTTTGCGTAATTGGCTCATTGGTGACAGTACTTGTGGAACCATCTATATGTAAAAACAGTTACTAAATTCAACACACACAGTGGGCAATGGCATGTACGTACATGCCATGCCCGGCAGCTTGGGGTAAGACTTTTCAAGTTCTAAAATTTCCAAAAACTTATTTAAGACATTTTAAGATTTTTCAAGGATGTCCCTGAACCTTGTACTATAACAATCATATCAGTCATAACTGTCATTACAATAACAGTAATTATAGTGATTTAAAAAAACTCAAGATTTGAAGAATGGGGGAAATAGGTGCAATTATGTAGGCCAAATAACTGACTTATGGTAAGGAAGCATTGGTGGAGCCATCAGTTCATAAAAAGATGAGAAAAAAAGGTAAATAAAAAAATAAACAAAACAAAACAAAACAATATGGATAGTGAACATGCACACCTAGTGTCAACAGATCGGAGATAAATAGACATTCAATTATCATCATGCATTGTCATTTCTATAGGTATGTCCAACACTCGGTTATAAATGCTTGCAAGTCCCTGGAAGCTCGCAGTCCTGACAGCCAGGAGGAACTCAACATAGTGGAGAGGTTGCTCCTTGATGATGAATTATCTTTTGAGGATGTTCATGTGTATCTCATGGACTTGTTAACAGCAGGAATTGATACGGTAGTTACTTGAATGTCAAATGCTTTGATTATTGTATTATATTATATTGTGTTATATTGTCCTTATTTGACAGCTTTTTATTTATTTATTTTTTATATCTTCTTATCCGTGCATGGACACCGTCATTGTTGTCATTGAGTGTAGAAGCATTTTCATTCTATGCATCTGTTATATATGTATTTTTGCATAAACTCCAAGGATGCAAAAGTATGTATCTATATTTTTTCATAAACTCCAAGGTTGCAAAATTGTGTGGCAATTTAAGAAGATTCTTGAAGTCCTGGAATTGCCACTCTTGCTCAGATTTTCTTCTGGAACTCTTGACAACAAGCAGTCTGTTTTTATTATGATTATTGTTATTATTGTTATTATTATTTATTTCTTCTTGATTGTATAACATGAAAAAATTCCAGTGAAAAGTATTTAATGTTCATTCTTTTTTCTCTTTCTTTATTGAAATTTACAGACAGCCATGACTGTGGCCTTTACTCTAGTAAAACTTGCCCAGAATCCAGAGAAGCAAGCAAAGCTCCATGACGAACTAGATACTGTACTTGGGGACAGACAGGAGCTGTTGACTCCCCAGCATATGGGTGACCTGAAATATACAAAGGCCTGTGTCAAGGAAACTCTACGGTAAATGATTTTTCTTGGTAGTTGATCTTGTACAACTTCTTTTCACTTTGTAGGTTACACATACTGAATTGAATGGAAAGATAATATGAACATGTTATTAAGAGAAGATTGCAAATAACAGACTGAGCTTTAGGTGTAGTATTCTAAGTTATTATAGAATCATGTAATTATTTTGTGATTTTGCATCTAGAATCTTTTTTTCTATTTTGCAATTTTTCCCCTTCTGTCAACTTTTGAAAATACAAGAAAGCAAAAATATTTCTGATTTTTTAAATTATGCATTTCAGGACAAATTCACCGGCAATCTTGACCATGAGAAAGCTGTATGCAGATACTGTACTGGGTGGATATATTGTGCCAAAGGGGGTAAGTGTCCTTTGCAGATAAACCCTAAGAACTACAAATGCTTCAGCTTGTCTGTTTCCTATTCACAAAAATGTCTGATTTATTAGATTTCAGTAAGACAGATATGAGCTGCACACATTTCAAGAGCTCAATTTTACATACAAAAATATGCTTCTTTCATTGTCATGTCAAATTCATAGAACTTTATTAGAGTGCTATGTTAAAAAAATTGAAATAATAACATCACAGTTTTTATCATATATAATAGTAAAATAAGTATCTAGGTTTATTTTATCTGGACATACAATATAAGTTGTAAAAATAGTGATATACCAGGAAGTACATGATATGTAGTACATTGTTAAGGGTCATTGCTGGCCCTAATAATTAAGATTATGCAGTTATAGATAAAAATTAGGAGGCTATAAGTAAATTATTTCTTGGTCCCATAGGGAAACATTATTGAACTCTAATAACAGACAACCACCAAGACCTGTTGTAGACTCTGAGGGACACTATCTACAAGATTATGCAAAAGTTTTAGTTTGAGGGAATCTTAAGCATTTTGTAGCTGTACTTTTCTTTTGTTTATTGTGGAGGTGTCAACTTCAAGCTTTCAGTATAGTCCATAGGTGACAAGTCACAAGAGTTGGTAGTTTTTTTGCAGTAGTTTTTGACAGCCCTAGCATGATTGTGTTGAATAGTACTGCCTGTACCTTATGAGGAAAGCCATGATTTTGATGAATAGGTTTATAGAGGTTAATAGGTGTAGACAGTTTAATCAATGATACTTATTTTCCCTGATAGATAAATGTTAATCATAAATCTGTATTTGCTCTTCAGTAAATATTTTTCATATTTTCTGTTATAATGATCTGTATTAAACAGAATATTTAATAACATTTTTCATAATGGTGAATTCTTTTCTCAGATGATTATTACAATACTATTTCTCTAAATGTATGTCTATATAGAGAGGAAGATAGAGGTAGACCACATCCATGCATGTTTATTAAACAATCCAAGTTTCCCCTTTATTTTCCAGTTCACTGTGAATGTCATGCTGAACATCGCGGGGACACAGGATGAGCACTTCCCAAGAGCTGCAGAGTACCTGCCTGAACGTTGGCTGCGTCATCACCCATTAGGCCCTATCAATCACTATGCTTCTATACCTTTCAGCACAGGTCTCCGGAATTGTGTAGGACGCAGGTTATCTGAGCAAGAGTCTTACACTATTGTTGCTAGAGTAAGTCCAGCTTGATTACTGTTTTGCCAGCTGGAAATTGTTCATTTTCAAATTAAATTGGAATCATTTTTCATATTTTAAATATATTCTGTCAAAAGGCAGAACTAATAAGAAGTTTTTGTTAAAAATTACACCATTTCACCATATTTCAGTTACTTCACAAGTACCGGCTGGAGTGGCATTACGGAGACCTCGATCCTATCATGAGTATTGTGGTGACACCTGATAAACCTCTCAAGTTGAAAATGATTGAAAGGAAGTGAGGCTTAATAAGCCTATCCAGCTAACATTGACCTTAGGGAAATGAACACTTTACAAAACTTTGTTACTTATTCTTCTGTTAGTACAGATGGTTATAATGATATTAGTTACTTGGGTCAATTTATGATGAATAACAGATGGAAATTTGATATCAAAACACTTTTTAGATAGTAAAAAATTAAATGTGTATTGTAGAACCCCTTTATGAAGGATTGGCAGATGTTCTGATTTAATTTGAATTAGCTTTTTTAATAATTGTATACTGTGATTAAATAATAAAAAAACTGTTCATTAATTGTTCCATTGTGGTATTGTTATTTTTTTAATAAATTTTTTACTGCAGTTGTCTATATGTTATGCTGAATATTAAGTGTATGATGGTGCTCTTTTGTGATGTTTTTGAGGTGCAGTATAGTGCATCAATGCACCTGTCAATCAGAACCTCCAACCCCCCCTCCTGTACTGTTTGACACCCCTCCCAATACTTTGCTCATTGTTTTCGTGGGAGGGCTTAGGAGACAAAGACTCTGAGACCCAAGGTAGGGGATCACCCCTACCTTGGGCCTCAGCCCTTGCCTTAATTAATTTTGCTTGGTCTTGGTCCTTTCCTCTTCCATATCTTCTTCATTCCCTTCTTCTTTCCCATTTCTAAGGTGTGAGACCCATGCTGAAAGGATGAAAAGCTGGCTTATGGAGACCTTGAGGGGTAGACTTTCTTTTCCTTGTTTTATTCAGGCTCACTATGGCCAATAATGAAGATTCTTAACCCTTAATACGGCCATTAAGGCTTGCCAACTTCATCAACTAGCCTATGTGAATTTGATTTTGATGGTTTTCAGACCCCTGCCCCTACTTTGACCATGGCTCTGACCACTGATACTAATACCCCCTCTTCGCTGCTTACGAACAACTCTAACCATTCCAAAAAACCTACCCAGGTTATTACTCAACCTCTAGAAAGCACCCCTTCCTCTCTCCCAAAATTCTCCTCTTCATCTCCTGCTACACAGTCCTCTTCAATGTCTACCCCCTCTTCCCTTATTACTACACTTTATCCTTATTGTCCCCTCACAGAATATTCTGTGAGGGGAATTCTGAGAATTATTCTATTCTGAGAATACCCTTCTGTCTCAGCAGTGCCTTCAGAAACAAGTAGGCAAGGTTACCTTTTGCAGTAGCTCAGATCGTTCACACCTTGTCACAGTTACATCTGAATCCCAAGCACATGCACTATATACCCTAACTGACTTTACTGGCAAACCCATTCCTGCTGAACCTTGCCCCTCTCTTAATACTTGTATTGAAACTGTTTCTATCCCCCCAAATGGTCGTCCTATTTACAACAAGGACTGGTCAGACTTTGTAAATGACCAACTTTCCTGCCTTGCAGTGGCAGTACTGTGTTACACTATTCCTCCCAGAGGCCAGCGTAAGTCTCACATCAATATTGCCAAGATTCGCTTCCATAGACAAGACCTTCCCCATGAGGTTTATATTGGTGGATTGTCTTATCATGTCTGATCATATCGACCCCTTCCTTGTCAGTGTCAGGAATAATGGAAACTCCCATAATGTATTTTATAGAAGCTGACCTGCCTTTAATCTCAAATATGAGGTAGCAGTCCTCAGATTTAAAGTAGGCCTCATTCTACGTGAGGCCAGACAAGAAGCACGCAGACAAGGTTTTTCTCTCTCAACTTGTTCCTCCAGACATTCTTCCAGATACTTCACCACTTTCCCCAGTCCCCCTTTCTCATCCCCCAAATTATTCTACTCCTACTTTTCCATTATACTTTTCCCTTTTCATTACTTTACTTTCCTATAACACCCTCTAATCTTTGACATCTAACACCTTCCCCTCTCCCTGGATAATCTCCTACTGTTCCAACAGCCATCTATTTTTTTCCTTGTACATTTTCCTATACCTCCCCCAGTGACAGATACACTATAATTCACTGAATCACCCTACCTTCTTAACCCTACCCTTTCTATTAATCTCTGCTCTAGTTCACTTATTCCCCTCTTTTCCCTTTTCACTACCATATCATCCTATAACGCTCTCTAATCTTTGACATCTAACACATTTTATCGTAGTCTTTAACTTTTTTTGCCCTTTATGACACAATACTTTACCATAGTGTTATATGACTTTAATGTCTAGCTCATTTGTTTCAAACATTAAACCTTAAACATTAAGTTTGACACATATTCAATGTTGAGTAGCCACCTAATCTTGACATGAAATTATTGTTTCATAGGTGGAATCTGAACTATCTTAGATGAAGAGAATGCAAAGAAAAGTGAAACTTGAACAAGTACTTTGGTTCTGAAAGTGAATAGGCACTGAATAGTGTTCAAACCGGTAATAATCCTTAATCAAAAGATATAAACCCAGTGCAAGAATATTCCCATGAGAGGGTCAGATACTCACCACCTGTCTGATGATCAAGTTGGCAGCAGGCCAGCCATGCTGCCCAGCATGGCTTGTAGTGTTATAATATACTGAGGTAATGATTTACAAGATGTATTAGGACCTTGTAAGACACTCAACTCTTTTAAAAATTGTGGCTTCTCAGTCATGATACTTCTCGGTCCAGCAAAGATACCTCTAGCCTACTGTGCTGTGGCTTAGGAAAAAAAAATTCTTCATTGGAAGTCTTCTCCTCATATTGTGGTGAATCTTCACCTAACGTATTCCTACCAGGTATGTACCTGACATGGATCTTGAACAGACAGTACAAGAAACATTAGGAATGGAGGGTGAATCTTCACCCAATTTCACGTAAAGTGAATATGAGTTAAAGGTTGAGAAGAGGGGGTTGGAGGTTCCGATTGATGGGTGCAGAAGTTGATTGAAAGTTACCGGGCTATACTTTTCTCAAACATTGTAATAATATTATTTAACAGTGTTTTAGAATGTCTCACAAGGGGAATAGCTGGTACTTAAAGAGTTAGAATTGAAGCATAAGTTCCTCATTAAGTAACACTTGGGCTTCACAAGGTTACAAGAGGAGAAAACATATGTCTCAAACGCTAAGAAATTATGATCTGGTAATATGTATTAAAGTGTCATTGTACTTCTTCAGAGATAGTTAGCATGGTAAGACACTTAAAATATTCTGTACTTGTTAAGTAACCTAGGAAAATGAACTCTGTATAATAATGGTACAAGATTATACCTTTTTTTTCTTATGTTGCAGGTATTATCTAGAATTATTTTCTATATGATTAGTGCCAGTACTTTGTATTTTCCGTGTCCCTCGGATTCAAAAATGACTTCAATCAGACATACTCATTCTAGTGTGCATTTCCTTGTCAACAAAATATCATTAGTTTTGAGTAACGTCTGAAAAAGTCTCCATTCTGCCAGTGGGGAATAAGCAGACAGTGACTGTTAATGTGATCCCTTTTATAATTGTCAGGAATTGTTTTGATATAGTGGGTGTTATGAAGTCTCAATGATCATAGGAAGAAGGGGCTAACCATATTGCTACAAAGGGATGCATTTGCCATGCATCCACCAACAGAAAAAACCAAGTGGAGTTGGTAACGACAGATTTTACAAGACCATAAAATTGTACATAATCTAGAGTGACATTTTGATATGCTGTAGAGTAAACTGGAAGGTTTTGGATAGGCAACTGGTTTAGCCTCTTGGGGGTATTTCAGAGACTGAGACAGTAGAAAGAGGAAAGAAGTAAAAAAAGGGAAGAAGGAGAAATGGGATGTGAGGGAAATAGAAAGGGTGAAAGGAAAGAGATAGGAAAGAGGGAATGAGAAGTAAAGAGAGGGTGGCCAAGGAAGAGGGAGAAAAAAAAGAGTATTCATATTCTCCGATTTTAAGTTATTCAGCTTTATGCTGTGGATTGATGATTCTATGTTATTTATCCTTGGTTTTTAAACAATAGTTTTTCCTGCTTACATTTCACTTCCACAATAATATTTTTTCTTATTTGCTGGCCACTACATGTGTACATAGGCCTCTATATATTTACCTACCAGTGTCTCTCTGTCTATCCTATGAAAAGGTTCAGTTATACTTCACAAAGTTAAAATACTTCATAAAGCATTATTCCAAACCAGTTGTTATTTGCTCATTCATATACGTGTGCAAATTGTGGTAGCTCTCATAATGCATTTTACTTGTATAGGAGCTGCCCTACCTATAAACTTGAATATGAGGTAGCAGTTCTTAGATTAGAACTAGACTCACTCTATGTAAGGCTAGACAGGAAGCACAGCAACAAGGTTTTTCTTGCTCTACCTACTCCATAACTGTTCTTTGCTCTGCTCCTTTCCCCATTTTCTAAAGACGTCTTAGCATCTCCCCCAGTATCTCTTCCCTCTACCCTGAACCATCATACCTCAACTCCCCCAAGTCAACTTCCTTTTCCAGTCTAATCCAGATACTCCAGTCTATATCACTTCCCTGATGCCTACCTCTCCTCACTTTACATGTTGCACCAGGCAACTTAAACATTCCACTCCACCTTTTCCTACCACATCTACACCCTCTTCTTCCTCTGCTCCTGAGACATCTATCCCCTCTTCTCCTCCTCCTCACAAGAGAACCTTTGTTTCTCAGTCCTCTTCACCACTCTTGAAGACTTTTAAAACTGTCTAAAGATGACCCAAGGGAACACTCTGCTTCCTCATCCACCCTCCAATCCCTCTGCTCCTACTCCCTCTATGATTAAAGTTTTTGCCGATATCCATCCTCCCCCTTCCTCCTACAATCTCCCAACACACCCCATCCTCCTCTAAGTGCACCATTCCCTCTTTGTTCCCCATTATCCTTACTGCTCCAACCTGAATGGTCATGTGAACTCCCTTATGTCACAGCAGTGCCCTGCTCCAGACCATTCCCCTTCAGACACTCTTCCTTTATCCCCTAGATTCTTCTCCTCCTACTTCTCTTACAGCCATATCTGTTTTCCTTTAACAATGTCCATATTCCTTCCCCAGTCACAGACACACTCCATTACATTCAATCACCCAGCCCCTTAACCCTTTGCTTCTTTCTTTTTTTTTTTTTATTATTATTATTTACTAATCTCTACTTTACTTCATTTGCTCCCATCTTTACCCTTTTCACTACAATACTATTTTTTAATGCTCTCTGATCTCAGACGTCTAACATATTCTATCCTAATCTTTAAATCTTCTTTACCTTTTTTGACACAATACTCTACCATAGTGCAATATGAACTTGGATGTCCAGTGCATTTAATTGTTTCAACCATTAACCATTCTATTCGATGAGCTAAGGATGTATAAAGACATACTGCCCTGGACCTCCAGCTTCATATAAGTTAACATTCAAATGGGCTGGAAAAAACATGTGTAAAATTCTATTTCCATTAAGCTGTACCAGTAATGTACAACAACCTTCACTCTAGTGGCCAGAGTGCCTCTTGCTTATTGCATTATAACTTTTTCAGCATGAAAGGAATGTAGTGCTTAAACTTTGTTTTCACTAATTGACAACAACTATGTATTCAATAGAATGTAACTCACTGCATGAAAGAATATAAAATTCATTGCTTCCAAATATTTTTATTCTCATAAAAAAGTGCCTGAAATGCAGGTACTATAAACAGGTACATTAAACTCTAACCTTATATTGCTGTATCATCATATGCTTTACAAACACGTAATTTAAACATTTTACCCTTTTGAAGGAAAAACTGACTGAAATCATTACAGAAATTACAGACTACAGTCCAATAACCTTTAAAACTGTTTTTGTGACAAAAGCTCTGAACCTTCGGCTTCTTTCATAATACTTGGCTGGAAAATAAATAGGAGGTCCTGAAGGAAATTTATATTTAGGAGACAACAAGAAAGTGTCACTTGTAAGACTGAAAAAGCCAATATATTTGCAACAGTTGTAAAATAATATGCACTTATTTTACAGTACATTGGATATATATACATATATATAATATACTGTGTGATACTGATTTGTATATCAAAATCATTGTTTACTTGGTGATTCCTGTGAAAAAT